AGCAAAGGCTTTCGTGTGATTAGATTTGGTTTGTGAACTACAGCTTGAGATTTGTTTCCGTTATGAAATACAAGCTCAGACGCCGAATCTGTTACTTTGTACTGAGCAACAGGAATGGCGAGAAGTCAGCTGTGCCTTTCAAAGCTTGTCTATTTTCGCATGAGCTGAAAACTGTCCTAAAATGGCTAAAAAGTCTCCCCAACTGAATCTCTGTTCGGTAAATATTTATAGTTTTCCCCTTGGAGCACTGACTACATCTGTCTGCTTAAGACAGACAAATTGTGCTGGGTGTCTGCACTGTATACAGCATAAATTGTGGGATGTGTTTTCGATTGTCGCCGTGCTAAACGAATGCACGCTACTGTTTATAAGACAGATGGGTTAGACGGTCAGCCGTGCAAAGAACGGCAGCGTGTGCTCGAGGTGAACAGGCGGAGGACGGGTAGCGTGTTGCTGGGACACTCCTATTTCTTGGCACAGACACCAAGAGCTCCATGTTGCCGGCTGTGAGTTGTAACTTGCTGAGCAGCAGCAGCGTCTTGAAACAGAAGGCGTTTATTTCGCTGCAGCTGCCACACCCAAGGAAAAGTGTTTTTCAGTCCAGGCGGTCTGGGAAGGAGGGAGGGAGGGAGCGTGTGCATGCTGGCTCAAAGCGGTCGGAGCGGTGAAAACCTTATGGCTCAGGCAAACGCTGGCCCTGATTAATATCACAACCACAATCAACACGTACACCCTCTCACAGAAGGCATGTATTGATGAGTGCGAGAGGGGAAAACACTGCCCTGGTTTTACACCAATGATTTTCCCAAAGCGTCAAAGCACATCGATTATCGTTATGTGGCGGAGAATGGTCATAGCGATATCAGCTCAACTGTGCAATAATGATCATTTGACTACAACCACTTCTAGAAAACCAAATTCTAGTAATCTGGTATAAGGTTGTGCATGGGGAATCCCAGCCACTAGGTGTTAGCAATTCAGTGATATGTTATCATTATTGTAAAACTGTCATGATTGCTTTTTCTGAGTAAATCATGGGTATCTTCAGTGCCTCTGAAACACTGCACTCACCACAAAAAAGACAGATTTAGACCAATTAAATAGAGTCTGTAAACAACAACATCCAGTGTACAGTAACAAGTAGCTGATTGGATATCAGCCCATTGTGATACCATCTTATTTTATTCATGCATTTTATCCTCCTCTTCCTTTTTAATTAATTGACTTTTGCAAATACCATGTTACATATTATATATTGTGAAAATGCATGCTATATGACCTTATTTTTTGCCATATCACCTACCAATGGCTGTACAACATCACCCGAACACAGGTGTGTCCAGAGCTGGAACAGAGTATAAAACCCAGGACCAGCTTGGGCTCCCCAAGGACTGGGGTTGGGAACCTTTGTACTTTTTGTTCCGCTACTCGGAAAAAGTATTTATTTTCCATCTTGCTTTAGATTCACAAGTTTCCTTTGTTATAAAAGTTCTCGCGGGACCGGCCTTGAGTTCAGCCAACGCAAGGGATCCTAACTCCCCTAGTGACAGCTCCCTCCTGTCCTTCTCTACTCCTGCTGCCAAAACCCTCCGTTCGAGAGTCCTTGAGGAATTGCTCCACCCACACAGTGACACAGCACCACCCTTAACCCCCCCACGTGACTGAGGCCAAAAATCCCACACTTCCAGTTCCCACCACTGCCTAACCTCCTTCATTTGTTTATCCTTCCGTTCACTTATACATCTGTTTATTTATCTGCTTGTTTATTTAGCTTCTTTTCTCATGAACTGCTTGCAATCTTCTTTTAGCAGAAGTGGTCAGGTTGTATGTGTGACCTTGCGAACCACGGGCTCACTGCTCATAAGGAACGAATTTCCCTCTCAAAAGGCCGGGCTTCAGGCGAAAGTTGAAATCCGGGTCAGTAAACCCCTGCCCTCACCTACGACCATTTTCGGTAAACATGATTCAGAGAGATCAGAGTTGCCACAGTAACGTGATCAGACTGTACCAGGTCACAGTTACAGTTTGGTTTGAGTCACGTGTAGCACTCTGAAATGTAATGAAATTAAACAAAAATAAATAAGCTGTGTATCCACAGCCCAGTATATGTTTGCATCTATTGCACGCTGTTTATTCTTGGCTAATCATTCCTCTTGTGTACATTCATTGCCTTAACTGAGGACAGTTATCTAGAAGTCAGTAGTTCAGAGAGTGATAGAAATCCTTAACAAGAAACCCTTAATCATTAACCCAGTACTCCTAATCTAAGACCAGGGCCTGTAGTCCTGTTAAAGATTCTCAGACTGGAAGTGCTGATGTAGGATCTGTTCTTGTCAACAAGGTCACCAGGTTTATATATATATATATACATATATATATATGTATATATATGTGTATATATATATATATATATATATACACATATATATATATATATATATATATATATATATATACACACACACACACACATACATATCAGAGAGGAATATGATCCTAAATCAGCAGTCCCGCAACCTGGGTACTGAACATTATGTGTCTTGATCTCTCAGAATATACACAAATAGGCCATAAGACGCTTGTCATAATGACACTGCAGTATCATGACGATGTTATGACTGTTGTCATGATAGTTATAAACTGCATGGCTTTGTCTAAAAGGTCAGATTCAGTGGAACATCTGCACCAAAACTCCTGTTCAGGGCGTGCAGAGCATTGTGGGTACTACTGTTTTTAACTAGTGCAAGCGATGCTGCACAAACTGTGGTCACAGCTGGACGGGTCTTTACAGAGGGCCATCAGCAGAGCCTGTGAATGTGCGTGTGAAGCATTCTGTCAGCGGTCAGCAGAAGCGGCGTGTTACCTTTATTCAGCTGTAGCAAATGCAGACAGCGTGTTACTCGTATCAAGTTTCGTATACTCACAGAACAGGAAACTACACTGTTTACTGGAGGACAACACGCTGACACCTGAATGCGACGGCCCACAGCCCAGACAAGCAAGTCTGCCCTCTGAGTCTAGCCATGAATGGACACAGAGACAGCCTCATTCAACACCTGATATTCCTGCCTGCCTTCATTTTTCCTCACATAGACAAGTTTACCCTTCTCTATATAGCTTTTGGCAACTCCCGTGCACATTTGGGCATTTTGTTTAAAAGGTCTGCTGCAGTTTGGGGCCAGACAGATAACTCAATCAAGGGCTTTCCGAAGAATAACAACGGAGAAAATGGCCTAACACATATTTCCCAATGTCTACAATGCTGGCAATGACGAATGAACACCTTTCGTCAGTGCAATTACAGGCATTTCCTCTTCCATCCTCCATTATCAGGTTATCAGTGGAATAGAGGCATCTCGTACCAGAAGAACAGACTGCACCACCAGCCACCCCCTCCCCACCACCTCACTCTCTCTTTCCACTTCCCTCTAATAAGGCTAAACACTGCAGTTATGAAATCACACCTCTACTAGTGTTCCTTGCCTATCCTTGCCTATCTGTTTCATTACTTGACCCAGATCCAGCACCCACCCTGTGCATGTTGTGCTCAAAATAACCATGAAAGAAAAGGGAGACGAGGAAATCTCCAAGATCCACTAGCACTGGCCTAAATGCATTCCACCGTCATGCTTCACAATAAGCAGCTCACATGTGGAATGTCGCCCCAGTCAAAACACCAGAACCTACAGCACTTCTATCATCAACCTTTATGGTGTATGATGTCTGTCTCCAACTTCTTTAAGCTGATTCCCACAGTGTTTGACTGAAAACGGTTCTGCAAATGACACTTTCATGTAGAGGTGGGCAACAAAACCATACTTCATTGTGATAAATATCACTGTGCTTTTGTGAGCATATTGTGGACGCTGTCCACTGACTAACTGCAAGTCCTATTACATAGACAGCATAATTAGACAACTAATCAGTACGTGAAATGGTCAAAAATATCATGTCTAGAGTTTTTGATGGCCCTTTTCAATAGTTGCACTACTAGTGCAGTGTGTCTGCGAGTCAAAATATTATGTGATATGATAATAAAGTGTAGTGAAATTATATTTTTGGCACATTTAGAGGATTTTTAGAACCCTACAGACCCATACAGACAGATGCTCCACCACCCCGCCCCCCAGCCCTCGAACATACTGGTGGTATAATAGAGTCTTTTGTCTTATTAATACATCCTTTAAGAACAATGCGAGCATTGGTGGATGGGCAAATCCTCAAAACTCTGAAAGGGAGGCGTCTCACAACGGCTACATAATGTAGACTAGCACCCTGCTATGCATGGGCAAACAGACTCCCGTACTCTTTGTCAAACGAGTGACTGCAATACACATTGCGAAGAGAAGGAACTGAGTAAGAAACCTACAGGTTGATGTTTAACTCCACATTGCGTTACACATTGAATGAAATGACTGTTAGGAGCTGCGTGAGAGCTAAATAAATCATAACACGCAGCTGCGCTTTGTTAACGTATTCTCTGCAATGTTTACGTAGCGTTACGTGTTAAAGCGTAAACTCAGAGGTGACAGTAGTTTCCCTATCGCGGGGGAATTAACAGGTCGTGCTGATAAGGCGTGTAGAGACGATAACGTTAACCTTATCTGCGATTTCGAAGGACAACTTACTAATTTGACTAAACAACCGACTTATTTGACTGACGACGAACGATACAGTGAGGACGACGTGCTTTTGGAGATGAGGCTGAACTCAGCTCCTTAATTCGCCCCGCTTCTTCTTCGAATTTCCCCGTTCCACCTTAAATGAGCCGCCAGAAAGTAACTGCTGCACCATTTAAGGTGGAACGGGGGAATTCGAACCAGAAGCTGGCGAATAGTATTTTTGTGGGACCTTAACAGAGAGAGAGAGCGACATAAAAGGAGAGTTTTCCTCTTAAGAGATGGCTTGTTAACTCCAAACAGTCTCTTTTCTCCTCAGGTGCTGCTAAAATAAGCCTGGCTTTCCTCACAGACACGCTGAAAAAGACAGACTGGACTCACCCCATGTGCGATGCAGGGGAAAGAGAAGAGCCTCGCGTTGCTGTCCGCAGTCCTCATTTATAAAGCTGACACAAATTCAGTGTCGTTCATTCCTGGCCGACTCCTCTGACTCGAAAGTTTCCTCAGTGAAATGATAAAAAAATACGTTGGCGAGCTGCTAGCATGAGCCGAAACTTTCGCCGAGTTCGTTAGCTACGATAGGTGGGTAACCGGGTCTGGATAACTAAGCTAACATAACCGACGTCTATCCTTTATATCCCCGTATCAGGTGAACGCCTAGGTGTGTAAATGAGCTCTACTCGTTCAAAAACAGCAACGTCTCCTCGTTTGTTAGCGCTCTGTCTGAGGTAAGTTAACGTTAATCCCACGGAGTCGGGCGAACGCGCTCTCGCTGATGAAGTCCCTCAGCAACAGCTCCTCGAGCTCGAGCTGCAACAGCAGCAGCAGAACGTCAGGAAGGCGCGCGAGCCACACACATGCGCGCGCACGCACGCTCACCCACACCACATACGCTGGAGCTCGAGCTCAGAGCGAGACTCTACCTGGATTGTGCATTTGTGGGAAAATAAATCAGTAAATTATTTTTTTTCTCTCAGAATATTGTTCTTTTTAGTACTTTGACAAAAGTCAGTTTGAGGAAAAAATGCATTTTTTATTGCAAGAGTTGTATTTTCTCCCTTTCCCCAGGGTCCAAATGAGCTCCAGATGTTTTTCTTCTTTTGGTTTCCACCTCCTCACTTCCTCCCTCCTTGCAGAAAGTTTTGTGCTGTTGTTTTTTTTCTCACATTGAAATTGGCCCGCAACTGTGCTGCTGAGACATGTACAGGGATTTACAGTGCAGGACTGGTGGAACATTACAAAGAAAGTGAACACCATACTCACAGCTGTTTTGTGGAACAGCTTAAGATTTGGCTACACAGCATGACCTTGTTGACCTTTTCCTCAGTCTGTTTAGATTCAGTGGAGATTCTAGGACTGTGGTGTGGGTGATGGGTGGCAAAGGCAATTTTAAATGGTCCGAAGTCCATAAACCCCAAAATTATTGTGGCGTCAGTGGTGCAGAAGAACCAGAGGATGCCATTATTTCTGCTCAGGGAAATGCACTTTTATTAAACAAAGCAAAAAAAGGCCACTGAGTCACAGCCAGAATAGAGGGAAAGGTCACTTGTAGCCAAGCAATGTCTCTCTATGGTAGACACACTAACTCACAGCCCAAGACAATGATACACAGTCAATACATAAATGTGCCTTAAAACAATAGCGACAACATAAACAACAACAGCAGCAGCAGCAAATGCCCTTTTAACAGAGGGGTGCGGTGCATGAGACAGCTTTGCATATCACACCCCTAAAGCCCCTTCTGAAGCACAGAGCAATATGTGCATTTATCAAAAAATTACACAAAAAATCTGCCTAAAATTGACCCCAAAAATGATCACAAATGACCCAGAAAAAAAGGGCCTATTCCGTTTTGTCCTCTTTTATGTGAATAAAGTGATAATGTTGCTGCACAGACTTGAATTATTTAATCATAGCCATTGCTTCTCCTGCTCTTCCCCTTTTCCTTATCTTATACTAATGGTCAAACCTTATTCTCTGCTCATATTGCTCTTCTGTTATTGTTTGCTATCCGGTAACGACCAGAGGAGGATGGGTTCCCCTTTTGAGTCTTGGTTCCTCTCAAGGTTTCTTCCTCTTGCTCTTATGGAGTTTTCCTTGCCACTGTCGTTGTGACAATGCTTGTTGTAAAAAGCGTTATATAAGTAAATTTGACACTGGATGAGTGGATAAATCAACAGAAGCATATTTATGCACAAACAGTAGCGAAAACACTGGAGGGCATATGGTTGCTGAAAGAAATACAAAATACCTGCCCTCATTTGTTTAGGATTCCCAGAGATGAATGCACTGTGCTAGCTATGTTACAGTGACGACATGGAGAGAATATTACAACCAAGTTGCAGTTATGCAAAATGTCCTTTGCTCTGTTGGTGTCTGACTGTGCATATCATTGCATGCTGAACCACTGTCTTCCCATGGAGAAGGTGGCCAGTGCCACATCGGCCACCACTCTGGCCTCACCACTGTTGCATTCTGTCTATTTGCTTGGGGTTGTTTCAAAGCTTAAGAATACAAACTTTGTGAAACACCATACTTTGTTTGTTTTCTGTTTTACTGCAAATGAAGATTTTAAATATGATACAGAGATGCACAGTTACCAGACTTACCAGAAGATAATGGCGGTTCTCTAGAAGAGCAGAATGTTTAGGCCATGCATCTTGCAATGATAAAATGTCATTTTATTGTAACTCTGCATAAATAAATGCTAGATTTCTCTGTAATGCTAACCCAGGTAGATGTAGTGCTAATAAATCTTTATGTATTGATATTGACATTAGCAGATATGTACGTGAGCAATATCTGATATTGACATTGACCCACAAATCTCATATCGATGCATCCCTCGTACCTTCTTATTGACTATTTCCCCAGTTTGTCTAGATTACCGTCTAGATAACCCTTGTGTGGTGGTTGGGTTTGTGGGACCCATTTTCAGTGTTTACCAAAAGAAAATATGAAGTGATTTATTATTATTTGAACCCCAGATTCCTTGGCCTTTGCTCATTATCTGTGAAGAACATATATAAAGTAACACATTTTCAATTACTTCACACTGTTCTCATCCTACACATTTATATTACACATGTGGTGTTGGGGTGAACGTGCGGGGAATAAAAGTGCGGAGGTGCTGTGTCACTTCACTCTGTTCTCCTCTTACATGGCCCGTTGTTAGTGTGGGTGTGTGTCTGTTTGTATATGTGTGTGTGTGTGCGTGTGTGAGTGTGGACAACATGGACAGGCTGCTGACTGGCTACAGTTGCTAAAGGAACGTACACTGACCACTTATGACATCTGGTATTTTTACATAAATTATTATGGCTGTATTGATTTAAAAAACAACAATGCAGTGGGTTCGCCAGACCACTGAAGAACAAACACATCAACACCACACAAGGGTTAAGATTTGAGTTAAGATTTGAGTTGGGTTAAGAAGAAAAACTATGTTGAGCAACTGGGTGGGTGGAAACATTCTAATCAGCCAGTTCTGTGAAAGAATATTTGAGATGGCACCTCAGATTTTAGGGGTAACCAATGCCACCTCAGCCACCCCCCTCTGGCTTTGCCACCATTCCGATTATGACTGTTTTCTCTGGATTGTACAGAAGATAAACTGTGTCAAGCACCTTATTTTGTATCTTTTTTGGTTTTTTTACTGCAAATAAACAGAATAAAATATGATAGATGATCTCTCTCTCTTTGGGTGTGTGACTGCAAGTTTCTATTTTTGTGTCGATGTTTTTGTGTCCTTCTATATGACGGTGCAATCACTTAGGCGTCTTAGTGTAATCACTGTAATCTTCTTTTTCTTTTCTTCACTTGTCCTCAGGTGTGTTCGAGTCGGCCCAGGCTTGTTTGTCATTAGGGTTGTGTTGCATCGTGCCGTGTCATGAAAAAGCAGGCAGTGAATCTAGCCCTACAGTAAAAATCAAATCATGCGAGCGATGACGAGGCTCCTCTTAACACAAGACAGACACATGCTCCAGGGCAAGTGACATGCTGTCAGCTTCACTCTGACTCATTGGTGAACTTTTATTCAATATGGAAATCACAGTTCGAACTGAAAAAACCACCAGAAATCACTTATTGCTAGAGTTAACTCAATGTTGTGGGTGGTGTTACGGTGGGTTGAACAATGATTCTGGTAAAACTCTCAGCACACGGTGACGTGAATTGTGAGCTCCAAGTCAAATCCGTAAGGCCTCTCAGAACAGCACGCAATAGCGTGAGCTGTAACTAAAACATAACCGCTAACTATAGCCGTTTTATAAGGATCCAGGGGGTACCATAAGAACATTTTAGGAGAAACAGGCTGGGTTGCCGGCTTCAAATCCAAACCCCGCGTTCCTCTCAGTTCGGGGGGGAAGGGTTGAGGAACCCTGACCTCACTTCCTGTTGGTGCGTCTCACAGGCACAGCATTGTCTGTGAGAATGTGACAGGACTCATGGGACACCCCCACATCTGGCAGCTGTTTTTGGCCCCCTCTTTTTATAGCCCCAGGAAGGCCCCGTACATACTGGGTGCTCTCCACAGGAAACTTGTCAGAAAAAAAAAGATTCAATTAGGGCCCTCCCATTTTCCGTAAGGTACAAAACTCTTACCCTGCTTGAAGTTCCAGAGAAGCTGGCACCTTCAAAGCAATGGGACACTACAAATGCTTGGTGTGCCACAGTTTGGTTTCCACCACTATGTTTCCTCTACTGACACATGCTTTCGTTTTATGTGGCTTATGCTTTCACTGTCTTGCCACCCTCCACACGGCAAGGACTTTTGGGTATATGCTGTGGTGGGGGGCCACATGTTACTCTTTTACAAGTGGGAATTCACAAGAATCTCTCAGTTGTATCAATGTCAATGGATCACCAAGCTCAGACACAAACAAGCTCACGCAAATTACAGCTATTGGTGTGTGGCGGCAAACCTCAGACTGCCCATTTCTGCTTTTTTCACTGCAAAACTTTTCTTTACTACTACAAGTAAGAACCGATATTATCGTTGTTTTTCAGAAGCAGATAATGGGACTCAAATATAAGGAAACAGTGCAGATTTCCTCTCTGCTAAAGGCTGGGCCAGGAATGGATGGGCCTACTTTTAGTATAGTTTGTATACACTGGGGAAATCATTATAAAATCAGCTTGTGGTTTTCTCATGCTCTGTTTAAGTATTGTAAGCTGCCTGTTCTCATCCTGCGCTAAGTTTAGAACTGTGCGTATATGAAATGTGCAGTATATGCTGTAGTAGCTGCGAGCTACTTTTTCTCCAACACTGCAAATGATGTAAATGCTGTGCTTCTGTAAATTGTTGTGCTTTCTGCACAAACTGAGCATTTTACGTCAGTAGAGGCATTAGTATGGCTTGTATACACTGGGAAAATCATTATAGTAAAGCCAGCTTGTGGTTTTCTCACGCTCAGTTTAAATATGGAAGCTGACTGTTGTCATCCTACAGTTCATCATCTAAGTCTAAAACAGACTATTGGTTAACAACCTCTTAAATGGCCAGGGCCCAAAATTTTATTACACACTTCTATAACACAAGAATAACTCAGCCAGTATGCATTGAAGTCCCAGTAGTTACTGAATAATAAGTCTTAGTATGTAATAAGCCTTAAGGAGTTAATCTTGGAATTTGCGCACAATGTCAGGAACAGCTGCTATGCTCAAATTATGAGGGAAAAAAAAATATTTTTTTGTTTGCACAGCAATAATATATGAAATGTACAGGTTATGCTACTGTAGTTGTGAACTACTTTTTCTGCAACTTTACACTGTAAATGCTGTAAATACTATGCTTTAGTAAATATACATTCA